TCATCCAACAAAAGCGGGAATCGCCCGAAGGGAAACGGAAAAGTTTTGCGAAAATTGAAAAGCAAATACAAGTTCTGCGGTGGGAACAAAATACATTTTATTCAAATTTCAGATAGAAATATAGAGCACCTTAAGAGGTTTTTCGCAAAGTGAAAATCATTGAGGACAAAATTAGTTAATCGATGGCTATATTTTAAAATGATTTAATTACTGAAAAAATGTTTTAGGATCAAAGCTGTTGCTTAAATTGTAAAAATAGGATACCCAAAGTCTAGATGAAATCGTTTTCTTTGACAATAATTTAGTCTAATTTAGTTTTGTAGAAATATTTGTATGGCTTTGTCAACCTCAACACTTTCGGTGTAAATTGCTTAGATATATTTTGAATTGCACTCACAAATCAGACAAAACAAAATACTCGGTCAAACAACATTAAGTTTTAGTAAATGCAAAAAAAAATAAAAAATCAGCAAAACATAGAGGGAGTCTTAAAAGGTGACAACTGAATTGTGAATTGCATTTTTGGGGCGCGGTTAGCCAGAGTTATTAAAGCAAATGGTAAATGGCTTGTGCTGGCCGCCAAATGAACTGTCATTAAACGGCTGGCAGTAATTAAATATTTAAACATATTTAACTGGCTCGCTGTCAGCCAAAAGTCAAAGCCAAGCATTAGCATTTCGTTAACAATTCCGATTCAAATTCGATGCATGAAGCATAAAAATATATTTCAAAACAAAACCAACTTCTGTGGGCGTCTCAAAGTTGTGTCACGAATATCGGGGCACGGGGCCTGTTGTCAATCTAAGAGTTGTAACTCCAGCTCAAAAGCATTTTGTGTGTGGGACTCAAGTCTCAATTGGATGAATGAAAATATTTTTAGTTTCTTGGTAAACACTTTATTTTTGAGCTTTTACTTTCGTTCTTGGTTGTCGCTTGGCTAACTGGATTTCGCCTTGTCACCGGATTTAGTTACAATGTCCTGCAGGACATTGCTTTGCGCTGGACAAAACATTTTTGCTGTCCTTATCGCCTTGGTTCAGGCAAGCTAACAAATAGATGAGGGCAGAAAAGCGTGTGAGAAAAATTGTTTTGCCATTCTCTGGTCATTTTTATGGATTTACGGGGATATGGTAGCTTCCCCCTGCCCTTTTCCTGTATCATTGTTTGTCTGTGCTTAAGTAGCCGGAAGTAGATTTTCCCCTCACCCAGCAAATTAATTGAGTTGAAAACGCTTTTGTTGCAATTTCTTCACGCTTGGTTGGGGTAAAATGAGATCCGTGTAAAAATAAATAAATAATCGTCATCGGCTTAACATTTATTGGTTATAAATTGAACAGCTCGAGCGTGAAATATAAAGTGGATTATAGTTTAATGGCGAAAAACAGATATGGCAAAAACAACAAAAGCCCCCTGCTATAGTTTGGTATATATTAAGGCCCAATTTAAGGGATAAATTGCACAGATAACCGAAGCAAATACAAGGAGGTTGGGTGAAAAATCCTGGGAGAGATTATCTTCGGGCTTAACGGTGAATTGTTGCTGATGAGCTGCCGATGATGATGTTGATAACAGGCAGAGAATAAAAGAGGTCGAGACAATAAAGTAAAGCCGAGTCGTTTAGGGATTATAGTGACTGGTGCATTAATTTATAAGACTTGTAGTGCTAGAAATAATGATAAATATTAATAGTAACAACAAAATAGTGTCGGCAATTTGACATTTTGTTTTGAGGAAAAAAACTTGACCCTTTTGCAAAGACTTGAATAGCTTAATTGTAAAGAAATGAAGATTTCAAGATCAGTGGCATCTGTTTATCATAACAATATAAGCTTTAAAGAATGTTACCACTCATAATTCAATCACTATATATTGCCCAAAAACAGTATAGTTTACTTTAGCCATCACGTATTTATAACACAGATACCCCAGTATTTGAGTTCATGTATCCTATATCCTCACAACTTCCCACTTACTTCCGGCAATCATTATCCCTTTTCCTGGCGAAATCCCATGAAACGAATACCATTAGATGACGTCAAACCTTTTCAGAGCAAACAGATTACGGAGGGGCAATGCCCGATTGATGGCTACATGTGTAGACAACTGGGCAACCAGACACACGCCTCCGCCTCTTTCACCCACACCGTCCGAGTCCCGATTGCAAACACCATCTCTAACCCATGGCAGCCAAAAATAAATTAATCAAAGAGCGCGAAAGGACAACAGTTTAGTTTGTGAAAAGGAGGGAGGGATTTCAGCTTGGTTGTTTAGGAAATCGTAAATCCATTAAAAGCCTCATTTAGAACGCTTTCGACGCGTTTGGAGGGACGAAGTGAAGGGCCAGTCCGATTTGGGGATTATTTGTAGGCCCCAAATTGATTCATCCGGCGGGGAAGACCCCTGGCCAGGACTTTTAATTGTGGACGAATCCGTAATTGATTGTGCCCTCTTATGACTGCTGGCTTTCCACTCAGTTTCCTCTCAGACGGAAAACAGATTTTCCTGCCTCGCTCTGCTGCCTTTGGATAATGGATTTGGGGCAAGAAAAGGCCAAGAAAAAGGGCTGGAAAAAGCTGACAAAGAGTTGAGGTTTACAAGCCCTTCGGGCTTTTGGCCTATGTGTATTTCAGCACAGACCAAGAATTTCCAACTAATTCCATTCAATGCCTCTCACTTTAATTCATCCTACCGTTTTATGCCCTTTGGTTTGGGTAATTGATTTGCGAAATTACATATTTTGTATTTCAGATTTTTGTTTGTACAAGTTTCAACGAGAGTGACTGGTTAATTTAGTCAAAAAGGGACTGATTGACAAGCGAATCGTAAAATTACAAAGAGGAAAAAGAGAAAATTGAATAAGACTAAGATGAATGAAATTAATATTTTATATTTTCAGCTGGCTTACAGGCAAATGTTAACAGTTGCCTTTGGGATAATTAAAAGTATTTTAAGGTGTCAAGCGAAAATGTTATTTTAGGGATTAAAAACAAACAACTAAATGGCAATTAAGACATCTGATTTTATACTGCGATATACATAAGGCATTGAGGCTGTTTTGTAGTTTATTCGAAATAGAAAAATTGGGAGGTAAACAAAGTGGTAAGCCACTTTGCAATTTATATTTATGAGTTCCGTTTTAAAAAGTTGATATATAACAATAAAAAAGCAAACTTTATATACCCTAGCCAGTAAAGATTTTTGTTTGCCTTTATAATCAGCAAATTATTAAAAATATCTTCAGAAAGGATATAAAACAAAAATCCGTTTAAAGGCAAGAGCAATGAAGTCTGTTTCAGTGCTCCATTAAAAAAATGTTACTTTTACAAAAAAGTTATTTGTATAAATTGTTCAAATAAGATATTTATGTGAAATCTGGTAAATGTAATAAAAATTATATATTCTATCTTGATTTTCTGATAGCCCTTTTTATAAAGAGTGTATATAGCTTACAATTCTTATGTGGTTTTTATATATCTTTGTGTTAGGATCTTTATCTAACCAATAAGCATTAATTCACGCTCTCTCACGGCGCCATTATCATTAGCAAACACATAGAGCTATCTGGCTCATAAAGCACGGCGAACAGGGCTAAAGCACACGCAGATACAAATACCATTTGCAGATACTCTTACAGACAATCGTGATGTGGGCCAAATGCAATCCAGGCAAACAAGCTGCTAAATTTCGCACGCAGCTCTCAAAAGGCATTTAAGCACGGGGTTGGCACTCCGAACAAACCAAAGATGCTGACAGCAATGATGATGCGGGGATGGAAAGAAGGAAGGCCAGGGGAACTGATGACACACAGCCAAGGAAAAACGAGACCAATCACGAAAAAGCGAGCGAAAAAAACAGAGGAATCGCAATGCTAAAGTAGCTACAAGATACACATATCCGCCAGATACCCAGACAGTGAGGGAAGTGTGAATTATCCTGCCTGAAAGTATTTAATGCGCTTTACACATGGCAGCAGGCAAACAACATACGAACGGCCAAAAATAGTATAGAAAAAACACACAAGTTAAAGCATTGGAAACACATACATAGATGATCATTACTCATCCAAAACAAATACAAAATAAATCGAGGGAAATCAGTCAGTTGATGGACCTAAGACCCCGAAAAAAAACTGTTGAAGGAAACGGGTGGAAAATTAATTAAAGAACGTGAAAATGCAACAGGCTGACCCCCAGTTCAAGTTATTAAACATTCTTCGGTTCTTGTTACGTTTTTTTTTAACATTTTTAAGCAGGCATTACAAATTACACAACTCGAAAAAGAACTGGTTTACCTTTCCTCCACCGAAGCCAAAGAAACGATCTACCTGACGTTGTTAACCATCTTTTGTGAGTTACGGGCAGGTAGAATGCGGGTTCGCCGGTGCCCTCTCTATTTCTCTTTATTCCTGCCCTGCCAAGGACCTCCCGCTGTTTCCCTGGTGGTTGGAAATTGTTTTCTCGGCGCAACAGGATATGCATTTTTTTCCTACTTCTGCGTTGCTCTACAAATTGAGTCTGGAGTTCAAATGAAGACATAAAAAAATTGTTGACCTACATGGTGCCCCAGAAAAATGGTATTAACTTCCAGGAATAAAACCAATGCTAACTAAAATGGTTTAAATCATTTGGTGGATTTTAACCAACACAAAAGTTTATCGTCGATATATGGACCAACTCCATATTAAAACTCGTTCGCAAAATTTAATTTCGAATAATTTTGTAAATTCTGATCTTTATTTGTAAAGTCTAAATTTTTGACAGTGGTAGCACATTCCTTTTCAAATTCATTTCGAGGAACTGAACATATTAATACATGACAAAGTCATGAAAAATTAGTTTAAGAAGCCCCAGAAGATTCTTTTGGATTCCTATTGTTGACTCCCCGTCGGAAGAATAAAATCTTGTCAATAAAAATATCGATAATAACGTAATTTTAAAAAGGTTGTAAACATAAAGATTTTAATTTAATTGATTTAACTAAGCACTTTTCTCAACTCTCCAGTTTTCAAAAGCTTGTAAAAGCCATCAGATTTATTGTGTTCAAAAATGCTATATCCCTCAAAATGTTCTTAAAATTGCATGGCATGAAAACTTTTATTCTGCGAAGTTCCTTTTACTTTCTCAACATTCCATTTAAACTATATAAGACGGGAAACTCACCTTTCCGCCTACTTTTAGTTCGTAGCCCATGCCCAGAGGTGTTTTCAGTTGCACGGGACAGACGAATCCGATGTTGCGGTGCGGACTTTCCACGCCCGTCTGGTGTTTTCGGGTGGTGACCTTGGCCACACTCCTTGTGGGCGTGGCCGCGGTGGAGGCTGAGGAGGTGGTATTCTCGGCCACGCACAAATCCTCGCCGCCATGAACGGGAAACTTGGAGCACTCGAGATTTTCCGGCCAGTTGAAGTTGTAGGTTTTCATCAACTTTTCACAAACTCTGGCGGATTCGCACAGAGATCGGCAGGGCGGAATGGGTCTCTCCAAGATTGTGCAGACCGGGACGTAGAGTGAGCAGAGGAACAGCTGGAGATCATCGCTACAGCCGATCTTCACGAGCGGAGCAAACTGATGAACCTCCAGACCCGCTTCTTCCTGCTTCGTATGTCCAATAAGGTTCGGCATAATGGTCATGTTGTAGGGTATATTCTTGCATATCGAAATGGTGATGGGTTCGCAGCGATTGTGGTGAGGTAGTCCATCCAATTCTGTTCCAGAACTGGGCATTAACCCCCCGCCACTGCGATAGTAGGGACTGGCGTCGAGGGGACTTTGATCATAGCGCTGGACACCTTGTATCAAGGTGGGTAAAATAAACAGGATCTGCCGCCACATTTTGCAATTTTTCGGTACCGGTCCCGCTTTTTTCTCTGTCAAAGAACTTATCGGGTATTTGTTTCGATTTATTTAGCCACGTTTAAAACACACACATGTTGCTTTACTGCTTACACTCACTTTTGCACCTTAAAATATTTATTCTGTTTAAAAACTTCACTCCCACGAAACACTTAACACGTTTTAAACATTTGCCGCCGGCAAATATTTAGTTTGGCCTAATAAGCAAATAATAAATATTTCTTCCTATCTTATTTGCGTTTGCTTTTGCTCTCTATTTTGTTTGGCCTTTTCTTATTTGCAAACTATTATTTTTCTAACGATTTGATTTTGGCTTTTGTATTTGTTATTGCCAAAAAATATTATTTTGTAATGGGGGACCTTGTCTTGTTTCAGACCCTTATTCCGTTTGCTTTTTTGATGTTATGTGGGATTTTTTATCGCGAAAATTTACTTTTCCGAAAGCAAAATTATTATCTTTTTGATTGAAGCACTTGTACCGAAAGTTATATTATACCGTACTATTTTGCCTCCCCCGCTTTTATTATTTGCCTTTCTTGTTCGGCACTTTTTCCAAAAACGCGCAAAGTTTACCGTTTACCCGGAGTCGGAACCGGAATTCACTTCTGCTGCACTGCACGGGTTTTACGTCAAAAGGCGAGAACGGAGCCGGAGTTCGAATAAATTTCAATCCGCGAGCACAACCGCATGGCAGGGCACACGCTGACAAACTGAGACACCGTGGAACTGAGAAACGGAGAAATTGTCCGAAAGCGGGACCAAAACACACGGGTCTTCCAAAGCCGCTCTCTTTTGCGCGCTCCCACGCTGAATATGCGCTCTCCCGCTCCGTGGGTCTATTCAGCCATGTAAAGTATACGTAGGAGGGGGGGCGACCTTGAATTTGACACTCTCGGTGGGAGAAAACGTTGCAAAGAGAGCAGGAGAGAGCGCTGTGAAAGACGGGGCTGTTATGCCATTTGTTTGGATGCTGTCCCTCTCGCACTTTGACTTTTTTCCATTTCTTGGCCTCCTGTTGATTAGCCGACAAAAAAAAAACAACATCAACAAATTACTAAATGTGGGACTATGAAGTTAATTAGAATTTAAAATGATGATGCTAATGATAGGACTAATAGAAATCGAAAGCCGGAAGCAATGCCTTAATTTCGCTGTTATCCCATCCGAAAAAAGTCTAATCCAAAAATTTATTGAGAATTAATTATTAACTTAATATATAAATTTTGATTATCAAATTTATTAAAAACTAATTACATTTTGTATATATTGTATTCATGTCTAGCTATAGCATTTAATAGTTTGTGGCAAAGTCACAAAGAAGGAAAATTGTATTTTTTATTTTTAAATACACAAATATGTGTTGATTTATGAAGATAATTTTTTGTTCTACTAATATAATTAAAATACTGTTTGAAATTCCAATATTGGAATATTTTAATTTAATAGTTTAATTTATTCGTTATTTGATTATGAATTTTGAATAAATGTCAACATTTCATAGTGCTGAGGTCATAGCACCCTCTTATCTTTTTTATCAATCCACCGATGTCCGTTATATTTCCCATTGTTTTGCCAGTTGGGTTTTCATCGGCTGTTGCGAGTGCCGTTAGAAGACATTAGCCCTGGAATAGACCAAAGATTACACTTTTCCCCCTCTACTACTCCTTGGAATACATATTTGCACGCGTTAATTTCCTCGATTTTCTGCGACAATTTTTATCGCCGACCATTGCGCACTTGCATCTATCATTTATCTTTATCTATGTTTTTTTGCCGTTTGTTTTATTTGTCTGCTTTTTGCTCGACAGTTAATTAAGTCATTAACTTGCGTTTAATCTGCGCTTTAGCATGAGTTAAGAGAACTTATGCCCGGCATTTCTCTAATGACCCCTTGGTGGGTCGGAAGAGGGGATCTGCGGGGAGTTAGGCATCTGCTGCCAGTCAATAAACTTGTTATATTGACAATAATGATGACATTCGAGGAGTCTTCAGTCTTTTGTCTTTGTCACCTGTATAACCCTTTTGCTCGATCACACTCTCTCGTTCTCTGTCTAGTTAACATATCTCTTTCAGCAGCATAAACAGGCTCTCTCCCGCAATCTCTTCCCTTCTCTCTCTTCGATAAACAAGTGTTACCGGTTTTGCCGGCTATGTTCATTCTATGCTCTTTTTTCTCTGTTCTCTTCTTGGCTCCTTCACCTTATGCTCAGAATACACCCCCCACCGTCTACCTCCAACCCCCCCTCCACTCATCATGCTGATTCTTCGCTTCTACACTTCGTCGGCTTGTTTAATAAAAAGCGCCAAAGTTGCGCCGCATAAAAAAGGCTCTTTCTTTTCCGCCCCTCTTTTCTTCTCTGCCATCACCAGTCTACACACTTAAAGAAAATTTGAAAAACTAAAACCATATTTATTTTATTGGCGTCAAACCGGATAACTTCTTTAATATCGTTGGATCTGGATAACTAAATTATCTTAATTTATTATTAGAATTAACACAAGATGGAACTTGAGAACGATTATAAAACTGCAATTCGGTCAGGTGGCTTGAGATTTATAGTTTATTAAAAAAAATTATAATGTTTAAATATAATGCACTCCGAGCTAAGTTTAATTTGCTATATAATTTGTTAAGCCATAATGTATGAATGATGATAGATAATCAATTTTCCGTTTTGTTTACGAAAATTTATTAGATCTAAAGTAGTTCTAAATTTTAGATTTCGATCTTTAAATTTCATTCAATCTTTTTATCTTTCGACCTCTAAAAGTTACTATTCAACTATCAATAGATTAATTACAATTATTTTAGAATAATAGGGATCAATAGGAATTTTTATGAGATTTCAAAGTTACGTGGTCCACAGGTAAAAAATCAAATGTCTTACAGCCTATAGCACAACATAACCTTATCGCCGGCTTTATACTAAAAAATAGTTATTAAGGTGCCAATCGACACGGGTAAATAATTTTGTATCTGGCTTTGATTAGTCTGATCTCAACTAATGTTACAATTTGGCTGATGCCCTCAATAATGTTTCAAAATAGTTTTTTTAATTCCTCAGTTCATATTCTAGGAGGTACTATCTCTAATAAATTAGCTTAGTTTATCAAAGACTTAACACGCCTTCCAGACTTAATAAACAAATTTGTTAGGTATCGTTTTTTAGAGTGCATATATGTCTTGGCTTCTCCCCCATTGTTGTTGTTCAGTCGGTTTCCGTTTGGCGCTCGTTGTTGGTAATACTGCTGTTTTGCAGTTGCCGCTCATTTTATGTTTACAAGTGAACGAACTTTGACGTTTTGCTCTCTCTATCTCTCTCTGCAATTGTTTCTTTCTCGCTTCCACTCTGTTGTTAGAAAGTGATTTGGCCGTTGTTGTTTTTCAGTAGGGACTATTTTTGGAATATGTAATTTAATGTAATTAAAATGGAATAAAGGAGGAAAATATGTATCACCCCGAATCCAGATGAACTTCATTAGATAAGCGAAAGTATAATTGAATTAGCTACTTCCTTTTTGTGTTTTAAGTGAATTGTTTTTAATGACGGTTAATAAAGGGTTAGAGCAACATACTGTAAATGAAACTATCAACTAGTAAAGCACAACATTTAATTTAATTTTAGCTGATGATGTTTTAAAGATTATAACATGCACCATTTTAACCCCGTTTGCTCGGCCTCACGATTAGATAAAATTACGCGTAAAGCTGAGAAATCGTAAAGAAATTTGTAGACTAAAGCCTACTTTAAGCTTATAGAGAGGAATCGAATATTTCATATTCACCATGTTTTTGTTCATATGATCTTTGAACAATTTAATATTTTCCTCTGTTGCTTTTTTTAAAAAACTTAAAAATAATGTCTTTAATAATTAAAAACGGTTTATAGATTGTCAAAATTGTACAATCAGAACACGTGATAAAAGGAACGAAAAAATATATTTTTTATTTAAATTAATAATAAAATTTTATTTTCAAAACGTATTTTTTTATTTTTTCTAAAAAAAATACAATATTGGCCAACCAAATTTTCTAAAAGTGATGCCAATAAAAACCGTCTAATTTGTATGTGTAAGGCATATTTTTCCGTGTGGATTTTTTAAATTTTTTATTGTGGTTAATTTGGGATTACGGTTGGGTTTTCCTTGCTTTCCCTGATTTCCCTCTCCAATTAGACTGATTAGAGTGGTTCTTGTTTTCCTTTGTTGCGTAACTCCTCAAGCCTGTGATTATAGAGACTTCTGCCCCATCGAAGAAGGGAACCCAACTCATTTGTAGCCAACAAAATACAAGGGATAAACAAATCAATCCGCACAAGTTCAGTCATGTCTCGCATGGCAAGCCAAAAAATAAACAACCCCCCGGACCCACATGTGAGCTAATGCAAAAGGGACTTGGCCCTAAGCCATAAAAAGGGTTTTCAGTTACTTTCATAGAAAAATACAAGTATTTACTTTTCGTTTGACCCTGCAAGAGCCCACACCCCCTTCGAGTTGAGTGGGAGTCTCAAGTCACATTAGTGGAAACCCCACTTTAACCCCAGAAAGGTCACGTGGCAGGCGAAAACTTTCGTCAGGAGTCACACACAGAAACCAAAGTGAAATGACAACTTTTAACAGAGAAACCCCAAAAACAGAAAGTGTCTCGGTACACTAATTTAAAAGCAAGCTTACTTTCTTACTTGCAGGTACACAAATTATAAGCCAGCAGTCATTTTGTGAGTAATTTGCACGGCGAAACTTATCGATGTGATGATGGTCAGCTGGCAAAATACTAGTATCGCTGGCTTAAATCCACCCTTTGAATTTTGAATGTATAATCAGATTTTAACAATTTTTTGCTGGAATAAAATATTGAACAATTTCAAATCAGAGGCTTGAAATTACCGATGTTTCCAGAAGTTCACTAATTAAAAACAAAACATTTTAAAAAATTTGTAAATAGTCATGCACCACGGGTTTCCTCCAATGCAATGGTTAAAAAAAATAATTATGTGAAACAAATGTTGTTTTTCCTGTTTCTACATTTCTTCTAATGTTATTTCCATTAGAATATGTTGTACCGAAATTTTCCCATCTCTGACCTCAAACGACCCAAGCTCTCCACTCATCCACCCCTTTTGGGAGCTCACTTCCCTCTAATTAGATGTAAAAGCTCTTGCAAAAGGCCCTTAAGTGTATCTCTTGATTAAAAGTTTACAGTACTTGGTTTGGTTTTTTGACTCCGATTTTTACAGATCATTTGTTTGGCATTTGGGCAATCACAGAGGCCTGCAGCTAAATTCATCAGCTACCCCATTTTTCCTTCTTTTTCCAAGCCATCCAGACTGTTCTCATAAATAAAACAGTTATTTACTTTAAAACAGCAAACGGCCGAAAGCTCAATTAAATTTTTTGAAAAATTGCCAACGCGGGCTGGTCTGGAAAAAAGCGTTGGCGGGGTTGAAGAAGGTTTGGTAGTGGAACTGGACATTGGTAACGCATCGTTTGCTGCAATCAATCAAAGGGAGAAACGGAATCTCATTAAGTCCGCCGGCTGCGTTCAATGCCCCACCAACTGTTGCATGATACGCTCGGACTTGAGGAGTCATAAAAAGTTCAAAATAAATTGTAAATCTTTGGATTTAAAAATAACAGTAGCTATATTGTAAAATCGAAGAGAAATATTTATTTTTGACTTATTCTCGCCACGATTTTTAAT